GGGGGGGGGGGGGGGGCGCGGGTGGGGACACGCTCAGAAAAGGTCGACACAGGCTAAAGGTTCACAGGTTACAAGGAGGTCTGGGCGCCTCGGCCCATGCCAGGCGTGTTGCTCGTGCCTCGCACCGCGCGTTAGCACCGCTCTCATGTTTCCGTCCGATCGGCCGCGACCCGCCGCCAAGACGTCAGCCCTGTTCGTGCAAACGTAGCCCCAGAACAGCCCTGGGTGCCATCAAGGCTGTGTGCATGGCCAGCGCCCTCACCTGCAGCGGCCTGCAGGAACGCTTCCAAGTCGCGGTTGGTGTCGTCACCCGCCTTCACCAGGGGCACAGGGAAGTTGCCCTCGCTGAAGTCAACGTTGTGCTGGCCTGTCATGTGCCAGCCGGGCGGCAGCGGGCGGTCGGTCTCCTGCGCGGTTGTATCGCATGACGTTGCAGAAAAGTACATTGGCTTGCGGTATTGAGACTAGAATGGTGGGCATGGGCATGACACACACTGACTCGCGTACAAGGCAGGGGCGCAGGATGAGGAAGGCTGGCAGGTGTTGGATAACTGTCCCAGAAGCGTCGCGGCGCCAAGGCTTTGCCAGTCGCATCCAATGCTCTTTCACCCATCACTCATCAGCCCTCACCAGGTCCATTGATCCAGACACCAGGTGCAGCACGCGCTCCACACTCGGGGCGTAGCCGAACATGCTGAGCCGCACGCTCGGCAGCCCCAGGTGCTTGCGCACCGCCGAACGGAACGGGCCCTGCGATTGACAGCGCCCGCAAGTCAGCACGCAGGGAAGTGGGCGACATGTGCCAGGATGCAAGTAGCGACAGCTGGGTGCCAATTCTTTCATGGGCTGACAGAGGTGAGCAGTAAGTTGCCTCAGCCCCAACACAAATGTGCTTGCAGGCTCCTGAACAGCCCCGGTACCCCACACTGCCAGCGCACTGCTCGAGGCGGCACCCCGCACCGACTGCCAAAATTCCGCGCACAACCATGTGCGCCGCGCTTGCACCCGCTCCTCCTCACAAGCCAGGGCGCACTCACCGCGACGCCCCGCAGGTGTGAGTCCACGACCCGCTTGAGCACCGGGTTGAGGGCGCGCTGCACCAGCGTCAGACGCTCTCGCTGCAGGAAGGGGCCCGGGGACTCGAGCGGCACGTGGCTGCGCAGCAGTTGATGCAGCAAGATATGTGGCTGGGTCAGGTTGCAAGGACTTCTGTATGTGCTTGTTTTGGAATGCGCTTGGGCTTCATGAGCACGGACAGGTAGACAAGCGGGTGCGGGCGTGCAGAATACAGCTGGCACATACACCGCACCTGCGTGGCCGCTTGCATGCGTGCGTTGTAGCTGATTGGGCGCCGCAACCGCGGGCGGCGGCAGGGCGGTCTGGGCATCGTGCGTGCGCGCCCACCTGTACATGTTGGCGCTGTTGAACCCGGCCGCGGTCAGGATCATCCCCAGGGGCCCCTGCTGCAGCAGCACCAGCGGCAGCCCCAGGTGCTCCGCCGCATCGTGGGCGGCCTGAGCAGAAGGGCAGGTGGGTTGATGAGAAAGACAAAGCCAGCGCAGAAATGTTTCGATGCAGACAGAGAGGGACCTGTAGGCTTCATTGCGGAGACTGTTTGTTCGTCTCCCCTCGGACAGCATGCCTGTACATGCGCCCAGGCGTCACGGGCCAGGGCGTGCCAGGACCGCCGGTGGCGCGTCCACAAAGCACCCAGCCCCTGCCCCCCCCCCTTGTACTGGGATCTTGTAACAATCCTAACCCTGCCCCTGACCCGCCCAGCCACCACCCACCAGGGTCGCAAAGTCTGCGACGATCGCGTCTGTGCCGGCCGCGGCGCCGCCGCTGCCGAGCGCCTCCACCAGCGGTGGGAACATGGCGCGCTCCATCAGGGTGAACAGCTGGCACCCGATGCTCAGGCTGTCCTTGCCCTCGTTCGCGCTGGGGCCGACGGCCATCATCTGCTGCGTCTTCTTCTCATCCTCTGTGGAGAGCTCCCCCAGATCAACGAACTCGAGGCCCGCAGCTTCCACTTTTGAACGGTCCCGGGACAGCGCCGCGAAGCGGACGGCGCCGGGGGCGGCTGCGCCGTTGAGGACGACGGCGGCGTCGGCGTCGGGGGCGTGGGTGGCGGGGGTCGAGGCATCCTTGGCGGCCGAGAGGCGGCGCTGGTTGCAGGCGCGCGCAACGGCGATGGTGGGGTTGAGGTGGCCCGAGAACGTGACGCTGACGAATAGCAGGTTAGGCGCCGACCGCGCGGAGGGCGTCATCGTGGCGGCTGCTGGGTTTGATGGCGCTGCTGATGCAGGGCAAGGGGCAGAGAGGGGGAGATGGGATGGGATGGGTCAGCGAAGTGTACAGCACAACCAGGGGTGGGCTGGTTGTGATACCGCGGTCATGTCAACTTGAAATGGCGCACACTGCCGCACTCGTTGCAGCCGACCGCCGCCGACGTTCAGCGTGTCGACCGGCAGCCACGTGCAAAGGCTAGCATGCCGACGCACCTTTGCAAAGAGTGATAGTCGTGTTTTGTTGCAGACGTTTGACGCGAGTTCGCGGGTGCTAGCACTTGAGTAGGAGGCGGGGTGAGCACTGCGAGCTCTGGTGGCCTTCTAAGTGAGCGCTGTTGGGCTTGTGAGAGCTTCAGATGTATGGATGCGAGTTCGGTGATGTTTATTATCGAAACGCGGGGAGGAAGCGGGTAGCTAGGTTGAAGCCGAGTTCCTAAACTGCGATCGTCAAAGCTATGTCATCGCCATGTCACGGGCTACTGACGTGTAACGGTGATGCTCTTGAGAAAGAATGGACCGTGAGCGTTTCACAGCCGTGGCACAGGCTATGCAGCACACACCTATGAACGATGCTCACCAGCCACCTCCAGCACCCAATGTGAATGCATGGGGTAACAAGATAAAAGGCGTACATGAGGCCCACTGTCATAGATGTATTCCATCGTATCATTTATTTCGGGCTCTGGGAGTGGTGGTGTGCTTCACTGCTTCTGTCATCAAACAAAGACTTGCGGGTGACGGACTTGCGGGTGACCGCACGGTTGACCATTGACCAAATGCAAGCCACATGCTGCAGCATGCCTGCTGCACAACACTGCTGCTGTGGTGCAGAGAGTGGACACGGCGTGTGAAAGAACTTCCTTACTGCCATCGTTGCCCCAAAATGTTATGAAATGGAGGTCAATCGCGCAGGTCCGTGCGAATCAGCAATGTCAGGGCTACAAAGCACATGCACACACGTTGGACAGTGGCCGTGGATGGAGACAGGATGGGCGTGCAGGGCAGTCGTGGTTGTGGGATGTGTGCAGCAGGGTGTGATGAGCTGGCATGCAGGAGATGCCACTTGGTCACTGCCGTGCTACTGCCCTACCAACGCCAAAACCGATTCGCGCGTGCCTCACCGCACTGTACAGCGTTCCATCTGCATTATTACAGCTGGTTCCAGCTCTGAAACGGACGATTGCTGTATGGTTGTCGGCATTCAGTTTGAATCACATCACACACGCCTGCAGCACGTGAACACCTTTGGGGAACAAAGCATCGGCCAATTCCCAGCATAAGAAAAACTGGATGTGCAGTGTTGATCACAGCATGCATCGCACATGTGCTGGCATCACCGCCACCCCTCACAATACCTAGCGTCACAATACCTAACACCCAAACCCCAACCCAGGTAATCAGGGTCGTGGTGAGGTTACTAGGTGCTCCTGCTGCCCACGCTGCTGCTCCTGCTCCCGCTGCTGCTGCTGCGGCTGCTGCTGCTACTGCTGCTGCTGTTTGAGGCCCAGGGGGTTCCGCCGCTTCTCGCGCCTGACCTGATCAACCGTCTCTGCGCGCCACTTCTCCACCAGCGCCGCCGCCAGCCGCCGCACCTGGATGCTGCCGCCATGCGTCCGCAGGCGCCGCACGGCCGGGGCGATCTGCGAATCCTCGAGGTGCCTGCTAGCGTGTGGGTGGGTTTGGGCGATGTCAAGTGAGGTGCCCACAATCTTCAAGCTGCTTTGCCAGAGGGATGCGTGCGCAGCGCCCGCTCCACAACAACCGCTTGTTGCACGACGTGCTCCCTCTCAACTGGTGTGTACTGGTAGCTTGCCCTAGGAGCAGGGCGCGCAAGCGGTGTACTTGCCTTATCGTAATGACATAGCAACTCAGCTGTCGCAGGGCCTCCATTGTCCGGGCATGCTGCTGCTGCTGCTGCTGCTGCTGCTGCTGCTGCTGCTGCTCCTGCTGCTCCTGCTGCTCCTGCTGCTCCTGCTTCTTCTGCTGCTCCTGCTCTCTCAGACCGTTTTGCAGATCTCTTCTTTCCTCCTCATCTTCGTGTTCCACATCCCCCTCCCCTTTGTCCTCCTGCTGCTGCTGCTGCTGCCGCTGCTCCTGTTGCTGCGACCCTGCCATTGCCACCGCCTGCTGCAGCACACGCTTGAGGCGTCCTAGCTCTGCGGCATCGACGCCCAGCCGTGGCTTGGGCAGTATCACCACCTTCGCCAACTCCTCTATGCGTGCTTGCTTGGCAGGCGGTGGGCGGGCGCCCTCAAACGGCTGGCGCTCGACCAGGAACCGCCGCATGCTGTCAACACTGATGCCAGCGCACAGGCAGGTGGATCGCCTCCGTACGCAGCTGTGTTATGATATTGGTCGCTGCTGCAGTCGCACAGCTGCGGCTTGCGCGCAAGCAGCACGGCCATAAACTAGTGTTTTCAATTGCCTCCACTTGCCACAAGAGATTTCAAAACACCCGTGCGGAAGCCACGATCTTGGCGCGACAGACAGAGTTTCAAACGGTGTCAGCTTACGAACTATGAAACGGCACTGTATGTGACGGATGGACGAATCAGGTGCACGTGAGGTAGGCGTGTTTGTATATGAAAATACCACTCCGCAATTGCACTGATGCACCTGTGTCAAAACCGGGTCGAAGCCAGCAGGGACTGCTGGCCATTGCCAGTGAGCTATGATAAGGGGCACCCCACCGCGGGTGCGCCTTGCTGCCCACCACCACCATGGCATATGTGATTGCATTGAAGACCTGCACACCATACATGCCCTAAAACTCACGTCAAACACCATTTACACCAAGAATTCATCTTTACAAACATCAAGCGCCCCGCGAGCCTTCACCCCGCTGCCTCCGCCGCCC